GTTAATGTACGTACTTGATACGTAAACTCAAGAGAATTCCTGATTATTATTGTATAACTTGACCTTTTAGCATTTTTTGATGTCAATCGACCTCGTTCATTTACACGCAACCTGTGAGTAGCAACAAATAATATAAAAGTATACTTGAAAACTCTTTATGACAACATATATTATCAAATAAATTATTCCAATAAAATTGATTAATATAAAGTGCTAAAAATAAACAAATGAATATTAAACTTGAATAACCTGTTTTAAGAGAATTGACTTTTTTACCTTGGACAATTTGTATCTATTACTAAAAGTTTTATATCAGTTGTCAAATTAATTTAATTATTATGTTTCCAATATTAACGTCATCCAAGTGTTGGAATCATTACCATAATTATATATCAATTTAAAACCATTACGTACAGTTAAGTATGGTAATGAATTGCGTAATTAAGAGTTGTGTAATCAGATATCATCGTGAATATTGTAAAAAGCTTATTTTAAATCTTTTATTTATATATTTTATACTCGCTATGTTGATATAAAAATCTTTTGAAAAAACAGATTTGTTTAAGATAATTTTCTACTTTTGTGTTTTCCTGTATTCTATAATTACTTAGACAAACATTAATAATGATAATTATACTTTTTAGAACCTGTTCGAAATTTCTTTTTCAGATATGAATATTTTGTTTTTAATCGATGAAAAATTTGTTGAAATTTGAATATTTTGTAAATATTTATATAGTTCATGAAATTTTATGAAAGTAAAGTAAATGAATCAAGTGATGAGAGTTGAATAGCTATTCCAATGATGTTTAGGGTCGCTTTTATTCAAAGAAAATGTGAGGGAATGGAATAAGTGAAGCTAATCTCTATTAGTATATGATAATAGAGCTTTTGGGGGAAAATCTTAAGGAATTAATCTGAGACTAACGTTTTATGTGTAATCTTTATTTAAATTATATTTTCAAAACATTCAGGTAAATTTATTAGTTTTGTTATTTCTAAAAAAATAAAAGTTAATATTATTAACATAACACTGTAAATATGTTTTCCAAAATGCATTATTTTAATGCGAATAAGTGTGTTAAATATGACGTCACCCATTTGATTAACATTGTAGTCACTTTTAATGCAGATTTAAGTGTGTAAAGTTCAATAAAACAGTCGGATTGCTTTCATAAAGAGAACTTTTTGAAAAATAAAATTTATTTGAGAGATAAATATTTAGAAAATTCAGAACAAAATGAATGTCTTCAGTTATGTCAAAAGAAAACACAACTATTAGACTTTCCTTTATGCAATCAAAAATGTCCAAGTATCTCATCATAAAATAAAAAGTAAAGATTATTCTACTAACATGAAAATTGCCTCAGGGATAAAGATGATTGTAGAAAAGACAGAAGGGATAGATTTCTCGACAGCTCAGCAGTAGAAAGTAAGAGAGAGTAGTAGACACCCTTGTATACGTCGATGAAGGAATACATATTTCAGAAACGTCATCTCAACACTACACCTCTCTGCTTAAATCTACAAGTTTAAAGCCTGCTGAGAATTGCCAACCCTCGGCTCTATGCGTCTGCAAACTATACTAGAAAGCACCCTCACAATTTTGCCAACCTCAAAGTCCCAAGTGCACGCGAATCATGCGCATCTTTACTGCCGTTAAGCGAATTGCGTGTCGAAGAGTCTGAGAGTGCGTTTGGGGATGAATTCCTCTTGAAGAACCCTCGACTAGCTGCACCCTGACTTCGACCCTTTCTTTCCAACTACAAGGGGAAGAGATTAACGGAAAATGGCATTGCATTGGTGATGAATAGGGTGTAGGTATTTTTTCCTTTTAGGTTGGCCCAGCCTTTTCGGTTGATGAAATTGGCAAAAATTAGAGGGTTGACTCAGTAAATTTTGTATTGCATACAAAAGCCAAGTATTCACGCTGTTTTCTAATTTAATTTCATTGATATATTTGTGTACCGTTTTTATATTTGATTAAAATATCGATAATACACGGAGAAAACAGTCATGGAAATATTGCTAGAATTTTAGAAAACTTTACTAGAAACTCCTTCACTTATATGGATGATCGTTGAGTCAAGCAAAATTTACTAGAAATGTCTCATCAATAGATACTCGAGGTTTACAATAATTTCTAGTAAAATTTACTTGACTCTTACAAACTTACTTTACAAATATAGTAGCTAATTTAATCAAATTATTCAACAATATTTATAAATGTTAAACATTAATTTTACATATACACAGGTTTAAGATGATGAAAAATGCTGATTGTGTGACCAAGTAAAGAATACTTCTATTGGGAAGATTGGAACCTACGACCGCTCAACGCACGCAACTAGCTAAACTGACACTTTAGCCCGCTTGGCTATCCGAAACGACTGAAAATGATTAAAATATTTATGTATATAAAATTATTGCAGCTTGGTTATCTGATATTGTTTACTACCAATACAATTTTACTAGAATTCTAGCAACGTTTTCTAGAATAAGTTTACTTGATTAGTCAAGTAATAAATCTCTGATTATTTTTTCTGCATAGATTTTATTATTAGAATTTTTTCATTTCATTTCTAAATATGAACTTGATTGCTATAAATTTATTAATTAAAAAATTTTTTTGTGTCTGTAAAATCCTATAAAAAATCATTGACAGTTTTAATTAATGTTTGATTTTTTTTTCATCTTTTCTTTCTTTTTGACAAGTACAAAATAATATTTTGTACAATTTAATTATCTTAATTTTTGTGTAAATATGAAAGGAAATGAGTAGAGTAATAACTAACGTTGGAAAAATTACACAATTTAAATGAAAGATAATGAAAATAAAGAAATTTAGTAATAGATTGTAATTAGACAAAAGTGAAATTTTATAAAAAGCAAAAATTCCGATAAGTACTACCTGCTGTGTAATAATTAGAGTACTATTTATCTCATATAAATACGTAAATTAAAAATTCCTTTCAAGCTTTTAATGATTAAAAATAAGCTTTCAGTCACTTGCACACTTATGTCTGATCTTTATATCTGCATTCCCTCTGCCAGCTCTACAACTCTAGTACCATTTTTACTTTTTCACATCAATCAGTCTTTATTCTTTTGAAAATTCATTTACCCTTCTCTGATGCATCAAACCTCCTTTATGCAGATAATTACTTCGAGTCTCATGTTTACCCGTCTCTCTGTTACACGCAAATTGATCTCCTAGTGTTTTAATTCAGTAATTGATACGACCAATACCCAAATTTATTTAAGTCATCCTGGATAAGGTTACTGCACTTGACAATAGTTGACCAAAAGATAAAGCAACTTATCTCTTTGTATTCTTTCTTCTCCTAGTACTTCAGAGGGATATATATCTTTTTGACTTTTTCACGATGCAAGTCGCGTAAATGATTGTGGGGTGAACCAAAGTGCTCTCGATCTACCCCCTACGGATCTTCTTTACTCATGAATCCACCCTTACATGAGAATTCCCCATGCACGCACATATAAGTATTTAAGTGGTAGGAATATAAGCTCAACACGTTTATAGGTGTCAAATGTTTCCTACTGTCTGTCATCAAAATAATTACTATGCTCAATCATTTGAGATGAATGTTTTATATATTTTTATATAACAGTTAATGAAGTAAGTTTTAGTGTTAATTGTTGGCTTTTATACGTGATTTATCATTTGTGAGACCCTTTGTGGGTTATTGGTTGTATTCATATTGACATTAAATAAAAGCTTTTATAACAAAATATCATAGTAAGATGTAACAATCATTTTCACATATTTATCTACTTTTAATTGTAAATTTCTACTTTTTTATAAGAAAGCAAATTAATTTATGATGCCTATAAAAAGCTTTCACTTAAATTAAAAGATTTTCAGAGAATAAAAAGAAAAATATTCAGTTACTGTTAAAATTCATTATTCATTGAAAGACATTTTGTTATATTGGAAAAGATTTTGTTTTAATTAAAATTGAAAAATAACTTTAAAACAAAGTTCTTCTCATAATAAGTTTTTCTATTGTGTTTGAAATGATAAAATTCGAGAGAAAAAAATTTTAGGAACGTATTTCAACTGCAGAAAAATTTATTATTTAAGATTTGTGAATGAATGATAAATCCCATAAGACACTATATGAACAAAAATTGTCAGACAGCTCGTTTTACAGAGTTTTTATTAACCCTTTAGCCTTTCTGTCCACTGGGAATTTTCTCTTTTTATTATTTTTATTCCTTATACAAAAGCACTCAAAAGATCGAAGGAGACGCAGTCGCTCTTCAGGATAGAGTAAGATTTTAAGGACGTATTTTTCTCATTCATGGGACAATGCACAGCAATAATTTCCACCACAAAAGTACTCATTGTAAATCGTAATTCTTTCAACTTCTATAATATTCTTGAAAGCTTCGAGAAATCGTTGCATTCACTTAAAAATTCAGACTAGATGAAAAAACGTACTATCAATTTAAAGGTTAGGCACAAAAAGTTTATGTGTGTAATAATTTGATTATTTTTTTTTCAAAATTATGGTATGGAGAAAATCATCCCCCCAACTATTACGATATAACGCTTTAGATTTTGCTTTACCCTAATTCTTAAATAAATTTTTATGGTTTTCAATATATAACTTTTTTTTTTTCATTTGTTGCAATTGAATTTTATCGACTAGCCCTCTACTATTTTTGCTATCAGTTTAATTTTTCAATGTAATCACAACAAAATCGTTGTTGATTAATTAAAATATTTAAGCACTATTTTCTAGTTGTCAGTGCCAATCCAATTACTGATTCACTTAATGATTGGATTAGCACTGAAAATCATTGAATAGTCACGAAAAATTTACTGATTCAGTTTGAGAGAGTAATTTTGGTATTTTTATAAAAATTATTTCACATATTCTGATAAATTTTAATGAGACTGTATTTGCAAACAATGTTTATTTGTATACTGAAAGAAAATTGAATTATTAAGAATAAAGATTTATTATGCATACCTTCTTTGCCACCGAACGCCATTCTCCATCTGAAATTCGCAACAAATCACTTCAATTTAATCTAAATATTGCACCCAAAATAAATTGGAATAAATAGAGTTTAAAATGCAAACTGATTATATAAAAATTAATTCTTAAATCTTGTAGATAAAATAACTAGTATTTGATACGACGAATGAATAGCGATACTTTCACCACGAGAGCTGATACAAGACTGCGAGCCGGTGGTACGCTTGAGGGAGCTCTTGAACATGCCAGGGCCGTAGAGATTTTATGCTCAGGGTGGTAATTTCTGCATAAAGAATAATCTTGCATTTAGAAAATAACTTCAAGTGCACTTTGATCACAATTGGTAATTAGTTGAAAACAAAGAATTTGTCTCTTATAACGAGGATAAAATTTTATTATATTTTTTTCATAATTACTATGAATATTTATGTATAAAATATGTTGCCTTTTTCTACGATCCTGAAGTAACGAAATGACTTTAGTGGGGATCAGATCTGATCGCTTCCGATTTTATGGCATTTTCAAGGGTCGATTCGTGCGATTATGCAGTCTCACCCTCAATTTTTATTGAGGAAAGTGATTGTAAACATTGATGGTGTATAACTCATATGATTGTATACCTGCAAACATTAAGATTTAGAACGAAAGGGCTTTATTATTAAAGGAAATTTAAATTTATATCATTAACTTATATTTTTTAATTTAAGTATTCTTCACAAATCAGTGAAGAAAGATAGTTGAAAAGAAAGGATACTAAATAGAAATTTCGTTAAAAAAGTATCCGCGTAAGGAATATAATTGCAGCTTCACTCAGCACTTTTTCATCCTCTTTTTTCGCTTCAATATTGGAGACGAGCCAAGACAAATATCAATTTTACATCATTCTAGAAATTACTATTCTGTAGTCTGCCAAATTGAACGTCTTATCCGACCTATCGATATTCAAATGATTCAAATGAAAATTCTTATCAGTCATTATATTGTCTAGTAGAGTAGCTGAACTTTTTTATTTCATTGTTCAAGTGAGCTGAAATAGAAAGTTTTTCGAGTTTAAAATGGTTCTTTTTGGGTAAATAACTTTGTTTATATTTTTCAATAAGACCAATTATTTTTAAGTATTGTTGATTGTATTTTCTTTTAAAAAATCTCAGCTGTTGATATCAGTCAAAACTATAGTTGGATAATATTAATGAAAATAATTGAATTTTATTATTTATCACTTGCACATTTCTTTATAAACACTTCTTTAAGTTCTTCCGAGTTTAATATGTTTTTTATTTTTAAACATATTAAAAAACGAAAAAAGTTTTACTGTTTAATATTTTACAAGTTTTCTTCACTTAAGGAAATTTGATTGATGTAATTAAACAGTTTCCTTTAAAGATTTACTTCTATCGCCTTATGAGCTTGAAAGATATAATGTTTCATTTTAAAGACAATTTATTTGTTCAATAAATTCCACTTTTCATCAATATGACAATAGATAAAAATACTTCCTTATCATTTTTTTATAATGTAATAATGTAATAATCGATTGAGGGTGGATGTTACTGTAGCTACTTTGTTCCACAAATTGACTATCACTGAAAAACTTTTAATAGCTCGAATAAAGATTCAATTTTTTGCATTATATGTAGTGTATAGCATTGAATAACATTATTTATACTTTACGATTGTCGTCTTATCGATATTTAAAAAAAAGGAGTATGTCAATAAAGGATCGTCATTAGAGTGACAAAAAAATATCTATTGTTCAGCAAAACGTTCAATGACGAGATTTTAACGGCGTCGTAATTCAAACGATCACGATAAAGCCTTAGGGTATTCTAGCACCGGCTACGAATCCGTGCGTTCCACCCCGCGGGGCTTTCGCTGGCTCAGCAGTTCCAGAGGGATGGAGTGCAGGATGAGGCCTAGTGTTAGGGGAGGGCCACGTGAAGTCAGAAAGAAGAAACCGTCCAAGTACTAGAGCCGGTAGTTGTGTTTGCTGCAACTACGTCCGCTGATGCTAGGCCGTAAGGCAACACACGGATGCATGGTGTCGGTGGAGGGCAGTGAGACGGGCGAGTAAATGGTGTAAGTGAACGTGGGACTAGAGACGTACCGGCCTACCTAAGGGCCGCAACCAATAACGACCGTTGACTGGCTAGTATAACTAGATCGCGCATGTTGGTGAATATGTGTGGAGTCGACATTGCGAGGCGTGGAGCTAAGATCCCGTAATAGCTGTGCTCCCCTTCGTCCGCTGGTTCTGCTTCTTCCTACTGTTGAGTCGTCCTTTCCGCCGCCTCGAGCTCCTTCACTCCAGCGCTAATGATCTAACCGTTCAGAGACGCCAGGTTACAGTTTGCTCGTCGTTCTCCCCTCCCTCTTCCTCCCGCTGTCTATTTCCTTTCTCCTGCCTCTGTCTCTTTTCGCTACTTCTTTCTCTCTCGCGCATTGGCACGTGTTTTTTTGTTTTCAAAATCAATTATCATTATCATAATTATATTGATTATAATTATCATTAGGAGATCAGACGTAAAAGTTATGCCTGAATTACAAAATGAAGCTAGTTTACCATTTTTATTAGCTTTTTGATTCTGCACAAAAAATGGCTCGACCAATTTAGCTGAAAATCTAATCAGTTTCAAGTTGTGCAATTATGCATCGAATGCAATAGGTGCCTCGTCTACATCGTTTTTTGTTCTTGAGATAATTGAGACGAAAATAATTCCGAAAGCGCATACGTCCACTTTAAAATTGTTGTATTTGAATCCAAGGACTTTGTGAAACTTGGAGATATGTAAAAATTCGAGGTTCGCCTTATCGAACCCATTACAATAACTCTCCCCGGTGAAGTTAATTATATATCTGTGATGTTTAATTTAAAGCATTATTATTTTATTTATTGATAGTTTATGGAACACTGTATAGAGCGAGAGTCCGCTACAAAATCTTCGGACTATCGAGTTACCGCATGAAACATTTTTTGTTGTGAAGTACTCACTATTTTATTTTTAAAAATTAAAGGGCTGCAATCCTAAGTTATGCACAAAATTTATATGATTTTAAAAATTTTTCAATGTAGGTACAGTAATTGTATAAATTTTGTGCACTACTTAGGATTGCAAACCTTTAATTTTTAAAAATAAACAGCGAGTACTTCACAACGAAAAATGATTCATGCGGTAACTCGATAGGCCCAAGATTTTGCAGCGGACTCTTGGAGTAGTAGAGCAATGATTTATTTCTATCGAGAAATATTTATTTTTTTTTTCACCATTTTACGACGATTTTTCATTACACTGCTTTAAAAATAATGGCTTCAATAAATTGACATGTGAATTTATCAGTACATTTTACGGTCAATTGACTGTGAAACGTGAGGGTTAAGTATCCGCCTGCACATGCCTGTGCGTTACTTATTGAGATAGATCCATCTATGAATCCGCTGGAGTGTATAAAGAGCAGTAGACTATACTGATGATGCATATGTAACTTAAGCATCGCTTTTTTTTTACTGACTGAGCAACTACCCTCATAATTATACAATATGCACTTGTTCCATATCTCGTTGACTCGAATTTCTTCTGCATATATTTATTAAAACTTTTTAGTTTCATGGATGAAAAAATTTCGAATAAATGATAAAGGAAGAAAAACAGCTTTTTCATTTTTTTCATTTGCTTTAACTCTTTTCACTAGTTCTCTTGTATACTTTTTAAGTTTAAAATTTTATTTTTGAATTTCATACAAAAAGAATTCTACTAGAACTAGTCCTAATATCAACGAATAAGATTATGGGATGGTTTTCCTATTGAACTCAGTTTTGTCTGTTGGTTATCGGTCCAGCTCGAGGTTCTTCACCTAAGTTTAAGAAAGAGAAAGAATATGTGTTAAATATGCAAGTTATACTTACTGTTGAAGATAGTTGTAATATGAATTTAGATGTTGAATTGAAGAGAACTATTTAATAACTTTAATTCCACTTTTATTTAAATGTAAAACACAGTTTGATAACACACTCTTGTGATTATTATTTCCCGAACTCAATCGGATTTGTGAAATAATATTTGTATTATTTGTTGAGGGTGAAAACCCCAGAAAGTGAATGCATTATCTAATCATGATTAGATAATAACTATAACTATTATCAGTTTCAAGCCAATATACACTAAGTCTCTACACGAACTCAATTACTATTTGATTTCGAAGATATTTCAACAGATCCTGAAAGGCTTGAGTCGATGAACTTTTCTTCAGAATAACTGAAGAAATTCTCGTGGATTATCACTTTTAACGCGAAGGACTAACGTGCACGAGCCGTTTGCTTGAGTTTATTAAGCCTCGAATAATATTTTGTGGTGGCTTTTAAACTGTTCACCGTTAAGCGTTGGTCCTGGCAATTTTAAGGATGAATTGAACACAAGAATGGAAAATGTCTAAGTCTCCACATCAATATTGTAACGAGATTTTAGAATATTGAAAATGAGGAAACTATAGAGTTAGGAAATTTGTTCTTATGTGAGACAGAGCGTTAAACTAAGGCGAATTCATATCTCGTTGATGTTTCAATACGATCAAAAATAATAATTTGATGAATTAAATGCGCGAAAATGTTGGACATTACAAATAATCGAGCCTTCAATAATAATTTGATAAAGATCATAGGAAAAAAAAATTTTCGCTGTTCAAACTATAATTTCTACTGCGAGAAAAGCAACTGTTAGTGTCTCTCGTTTTTAAAATTTTTTTTTATCACTTATAAGAAATATTTGAAGCTGATAAAAATCATTTTTCTCGTATACTGAATTTCAGAAAATCCTGCCGGTATTTTACCTCTTCATAACTAACTCGTTAATACCGTGTGAATCATGAGCTGTAGTATGTATTCACTTATACTTACAACTGTCGTGCACTATAAATAAAATAGAAGTCGTATCATTACAATGGAAACAGATCATCTTGATTATATGTTTGTAATGAAAATAGTTGGACAATACTTGGAAAAATGGAATTTAAATAGAAAGGTTCATAAGGTCCATTGTTCACTTAAATGAAGTAAAGTAAAGGTACTGGAAATAAAAAGAAAATGGGGATGTCTGTCCAAACTATACTTTCTTCTTCCCAGATGACTGCAATTCAACTATTAGCATACTCAATTTCGTCTACAATTGAGTCACAATTCAGGTGGATAGAAAATTTGAGA